CAGACAGTCGCGGCGTTCAACCTCAGGATTGTTGACAAAGTTTGTAAGACATTTCCTAATATCTGAAAAGTTGTTATGAGCACAACTCTTTTACATATAATATTTTTATACGCTAGCAATATATATTTATATATTATTAAAATTACTAACCTAGATTTCCACGTCACTTATGGAGTACTATTATAGTTGCGTTTTTTTTTAAGTGGTAAAGTAAATATGTTTATCAATTCCTGGACACTTACCTAATCCTAGACATTCTTATAGTTTTGGTTTTTAAATATGAATATTTAAGCTTTCAATATAGAATATATTTACATACTCAGTACTTGTACATAAAATTTTATGTTAAAAGTTTATATATTTGTATTTAAAGACCAAAATAGATTGTTCAGTATTAGGTGTCTGGGCGTTGATACTTTTCCTTATTTCCAATAGGTCTATTCAATATAGTTATTGAAAGTATTTCACAGATCTCGTAATGTCAACAGTCCTGAGACCGAGCGTCGCGATTATTAATTACCCGCAGTTACGTGGGCCGTCGGACGAGCTGGACCGAAGTTAATAACAGGAAGTAAAAATGTACCCCTCGAAATTCGACTCATTTATATAAATAATTCCGAGTACTGATATAAGAAATAGAAGCCTTTCGTGTGTGTATTGTATGATACATCTATTTAGTAAAATAAAATGTTAATAAAAATATTGTTAATTAAACATGTTAAGCACATCGTTATACTATAGTATTTTTACAACTGAATACTTACAGAGTAACAGTCATTTTCATCAGAGTTGTCACCACAATCATTATCATTGTCACATTTGAATATTGATTTTATGCGATTACCGTTATTGCATGTAAAGGTGTCTTGGAAAGTAACAAAAGACATATTATTTAATAATATGTCGCACATTAATAATTAGAAATTGATTAATAATTTTAACATATTAATAACTTTAATTAAAAAAAATTGATTATATATTGTAATAAATAGAAAATTTATTTACACACAGACACATACAAATAAGTTAAACGCAGTGCAGTTTCAAGCCCACATAAATTGAAGAATCCCTATATTATGTCAAAGTATACGTTGAGGAAGTATAAGTTGAAGAAATTTTGTTTTTTACATAAATTTTTCTCTAGACTATATAGATACGAAATATTTAAGTTGGTAATAGTTATTGTCCCATCCTGTATATATGTGTGTATATATATATAAATATATACGTACACACACACACACACACACACACACACACACACACACACACA